CATGACATCATCACCGAGTTAATCGAGGCTCGACATCGTGCTGGGATCCATTGTCGGAGCTCCGTTAAGATCTACCATGCAAATAATGAGGGATATGTAGCACAGGTTGGAGATACTCTGGTAATGAAGCTTGGACACTTTGATTGGAATCCCTCCAAGGAAAATAATTTGGATGGGAGCTGGCAGAAGTTTGTTGATAAAGGATCAGATTACCAATTGTGGCTAAGACAATAGTCCTATTAAATGGAGGAAGGATAACAGACAGTCTGTTCATTGATTTTGGTCAGCAACTGTAAGCTATCTCCTACTAAAAAGATACTGTTACTATAATTTATAACTTGAGGTAATTTCCTTCTTTTTCAAGGTTAAATTGGTAAGGTGTGTATAAATTTACCTCCAAATTGTTCAAACATTATTCAAGGTAGTTTTAGATGAGCCAGTCACAACTCACCAGAAATATCTATGATATACTTTTGTTACAAAGCTCAAGAGATGTATCAGGTCAAGAAAAATGGTAAAATTTTATTATCATGTTATTATATTTACTATAACTGAGAGCAAAATATTGGGCTGCTGCTGCTTCTTGTTGTCATATAATGTAGCTAACAGTTTTTTTTTTCCTTTTTCTTTTCATTTCTTTTTTCTGGTTATGGTTATATTGCAGGTTATTCTTTAGTGCAATTCGGGCTGGAGTGGGTTCTCCTTTCATTCATTAGTCTTTTAATAATGGTATCAAATAAGTCTCTAAACTTAACTTTAAAAAGTATCTAATAGATTTTTAAACTTTAAATTTTGTGTCTAGTATCCAGTAGTTTCTTGAACTTTAAAAAGTGTCTTAAAAGTCAAGAATCTATTAAACACAACATTGAAAGTTTAGAGACTTATTTGATACAAAATCCTCAATTTGAGGATTTATTAGGCACAAAAGTGAAAGTTCATAAACCTATTATGTATAATATTAAATATTTAGGGATATATTAGATACTTTTTAAAGTTCATAGACTTTTTAGACTCAACCGTACTCAAGAATCAAACTTATAATTTAACCAAATAGAGTCGGTGCAACTCTATAAGCCTGCCCAAGATCACTGGTAAGTTGATGTGTAATTTGCTCCAGGATTTCTCGAGTCAAATGGTGTGTCCTCATCTGATTCTAAGTTCTAACTGATTATTTTGGTTATTTTATAGTTTAGGGTCTAATTTTAGAATTGGCTTACAATTTTAATTTAATTTATTTTTCTTTTGGGTAGTTTCTGGTATTTTATCAGATAAACCATTGAATATTATTTAATATTTACTTACTAGCACTGTTAAAAGTGAATGGGTGTTTTCCTAAAAATATATTTTTTTAGTGAGAAACATAATTCAACATAATTTTGTCGGGTAACCATTTATTATTTCTTGCTCCCTAAAATTTTAGAAAAAATCAATCTATACTTCTAAACTTTGCAGTTGAACCAACGAAAACCTTAAATTGATAATGGTATAAATTAAAATTTAAAACTCTCATAAGTGAATCAATTTACCCTCTCTGTTAGGAAAATCATTAATCATAAATTGCACTTGTGTGAAGACCTCTTCAAATTAAACAAAATATTGGAGGAAAATGTTGGAATCGAGTGGGCGGTAGCAGCTTTCATCAATATGGGTGATTCATCAATAAGTGCATATAGTTATGGAAATTTATCTCAAAAAAAAAAAATATATATATATATACACACACACACAGTTATGGAAACATCATTCAATGAAAGGGATAAAATGTTTTTGCGAAAGATTGAAGTATATTGTTTGTGTACAAATCTTGGCAATCTTGTAGATTTTATAAATTATTTTTTTAACTTTGCACTAAAGCTAGCCTAGTATATGTTTTTAACTTTGCATATGTCGTGATGAATTAAAGTTTAAGCGATTTTTATTTCGCTGGTCTCATTTCATTAGACATACAATTTTCTTTTACCCTATATACTTTTAGACTCATGTATAAATAATTTTTTTTTTTTACTAAATTGAGAGAATGGAAGTAAAGAAGTTGACTTGAGAAAAATTCAACTTTTTAGATTTAGCTACAAATTTATGAAAATGTTTATATATTTAGCGACAAAAAAAGAAAAAGAAAAAAAAGGTCTCGATATCAAAGTACTGTTAAAGATTATACATGAAAAGGTAGAAGAGGTTCGTGGAACAAATTGGCAATGCAATACTTCCCAAAATACAATAGCAACGAAATAACATTAAGTCACAAAGAAATTGCAATGTTTTGTTTTTTTGTCGTAATGTTGCAACGAAGAAGAAAAATGTTGCAAAATCTTTATGATAGTAATAAATTGCAACACATTATTTTCTTCGCTAAAACTCACA